TCAGTACACGTCGTTGGCGACAGGAATGGGTTGAGCTGTCCAGATCTGCTTCCGCGAATCGTTACGCGTGGAGAGTGACAATTCGTGACATCACCGACGCCGGCTAGATCAGGCATGAATGCAGCCGCATAAAGTAGATGTAAGCAAGCTACATCAGATATTCCCAATTGCTAAGGACGAAAATGAGTTGAATTCACGAAATTACTTGAACGGGTTGTCTCACAATTGTTATAAACAGCACAAGAACGATAAGGACAAAGTCACGATCACTTAATCAAGCCCTACTTAGGATACTCGACCTAGATGCCAGACCCACTTCAAACAAAATCCTTAAATGATTATTCTGTCAAACAAGAACAAGGGGCCTATAGTGAGCCAGCTTGTTGGGCTCAGTAGAAATACCTACCTTAGCCTCGACAAACCGGACGAAATTGGTTTGCCACTTTCTGAATGCTGATATAATGGATGACCTCTCGGATCTGTACTCCTTCAATGCTCGGACTTCGGCTTCTAGATTATCAAGTAAGTCTTCAGATGGATTCAGCTCAATTATGTCAGCTGAAAAGTTGGCATTGTTGGGGACAAAGCAGGCATCTTGTAGCTGGAGAAGCTCTTCGTGGGCAACCTGCAAGAGAGTCTTCAAGTTTTCACGGCGCAAGGCCTCCAGTTCTTTTAGGCCTAGCCTGGTCTAAAATGCGAATTTCTACTGACAGTACACTGCTCACTTTCTCCACAACCTCGAACAATTTCCCCCGTGCAATATCGTCGAGGGATACAATGTGCATGCTCATACGACTCTGCATTTCAGCTATCCGAGAAGTGTTCTGGTCATATTCTTCTTCAGCACAGGAGATCTTCTCCCTTAGTGTGCGCTGACATTTCCTCAGGTCGGCAAAGAAGGCCTCATTAAGTGGCGTTGTCTCCAGGTCGATAGTTTGAATTGAAGCTATGCTTGCAAGTAGATCGTCCTCTACGATCATTGGACCCAGTGAGGACGACATACTTAACACGTCGTCTCTTATATCATTTAGATCATTTATTCGCGCGTTCTAGAAACGTGTCATTATTTACCCAGAAAACCTTTTCTTCCTCCAACTTTTTAATATTCGTCTGAATTTCAGCCAACTGAGAAGTCGATGGGGCCTTTTTAAAGGACACAGTAACGGGAGATTCACCAAGCCTGTGACAAAGATCTCCTTGTTCACGAGACAGGAGCTCGAATTTTTCCATATTCTCGGATGCTTTCACACACAGCGACTTATACTCGTTATATAATGAACGCTCACGAAGAAGAAGGGGCATCGAAGTGATATCAGCCCTAGGGCTATCCTCTCCACACAACTCCACATCCAACTCACTTATCTTGAGCTTAAAACATATAAACAACTTTTGAATACTTCTAAATCCTTCACAGCATCCAAAAGAGCACCCCTTGTGCAGGTCTCTTCTTCAAACATGTCATCCAGCAGACGGTTCAGGTGCCACACCAACGTATCCTTCCGCTGCGTTAAAAGCTCTCCTTCAACTCCCATTTCCTTCCAGAGTGTAAAAATTCTCCCTAATTTCTCCTCACAAGTTCGTAATACTTCAACAAGTGAAGGCAATGCACCCGAAAACACAGCCATCCCATCAGAAAAGAGCTTAGGGCGCAAAAATCTCAGCGTCGGGGCTTTTTAATTGCCCACCTTTGTTTTGGCTTGCATTGACCGAGCCGACATAACAAAATTATAACTATTGATAAAGTTCAGTATGTGGATAGTCAAAGGTACATTATGGCAGGGTCATGGGGCAAAAGGCCCCAATGCTTCGCTGTTTTTCTGCTTAGATCTACATGGATTAGAGTGTAAGTCAGGCACTGGAAGGCTCAGAAGAAGCTCAGATAGGATGTTTGGGAAGGTTATTTGGCAGCCGAGAAAATCGCAATACCCTGTACTGTGTGACAGATGAATTGGCCAAAGCTGACAGAAAAGCAGGAAGCAAATGCGCAGAAAACTAAACAAATGTGGAACGACCGGTAACAAATGGGTAGCTAAAGTGCGTCCAAACCTATAAAATGTGGATGATTACAACGTGCATAGAACAAAAATATGTCGCAAGCGCAAGTACCTCCTTCTTTTGATATAAGTCGATTTTCCTCGCAACATGCTTGAGGATTTTAAAAAAATTCAACGAGTTATTGCATGCACACCTCAAAACTTACTGTCCGACTTTACTGGTTGGGCAGAACAACGGACCTCATTTGCCAATACAGATCTTAAAAACGGGAGGTGAATAACAAGCGCAGGCAATGGGGCAAATCTGCCACAGGGGGAGCTCCGTAGCTCTAAATGCATAGAAAACGCAAAGGAACATAGTCAAGTGACTCACTTTCAGAATACGGTAAAATTTTGAAATAGAGCCGCTGAACCGTGGTGTGCGGACGCCTACGTGATTCTGCAGGTGTGTAAGGTGCAGCAGTCGAAACAAGAACTGCATTTCATACTGAAAATTACTAAAGACACTAAAGCAGGCAGAG